AGGAAGGAAGGAAGGAAGGAAGGAAGGAAGGAAGGAAGGAAGGAAGGAAGGAAGGAAGGAAGGAAGAAAGGAAGGTGGATGGATGGGTGGGTGAGTAAGTGGGTACATAGAAGGGAGGGCAGGAGAGGTTGTACGACAAAATGTAATGCCAGGAACGCTCATACGTTGTGTGCGTGGACGAATGTTGAAGTACCTGAGATAAAGAGGTTTGACGATGAAAACGTCGGGCCTGGAACGAGCCCGGAGTGTCAATGGTATGTTGCCTAGAAAGGGCTGTGTGCGACGAAGCTACAGAACTCTGATGGAACCACGGTAATGAGATCTTCCTACGAGCTTTCTGAACGATGGTTGCAGGTTTTCCTGCTGGCGACGTCATGACAGTTTTGTCCCGTCCTTAGTTCACGTGTACAGATACGATAAGCAAATGTAAAGAGCGAAAGACGAGATCGAAGATGTCGTAATACGTACGAACGACATGCTTCCGGTTTGTTCCGTGTTTCTTTACCGAGCAAATAAGAAAAAAAGGAAACCCGCTTACGACAACGACGACTAGTTGGAGCCGCCTCACTCACCGCCGAACGGAGGACCCATTCGACCCAAGTGTCGCGCCCGTACTGAGCCAGTTACCTATCAGCCCCTCCTTCCTTCCTTCCTTATCCCACCGACCTCACCACCAATCTATTTCTCACCCCTTGCCCCATACCCCTACCGACGCCGCCGCCATTTTTCCCTCTTTCGCATCGCGTCGCGACGCGCTTGCTCACCGTTCGACCACTCTCGAACCCCACCCAAAACTGTTTTTGCTCGCTAACTGATCGACTGACCGACCGACCAACCGACCAACCGAACCAACCGAACCAACCGAACCAACCGAACCAACCGACCGACAAAGGAACCGGCAATGTCTGTCCAGTTTACCAACACACTATTATCAAACACCAACTATCCAGTGAACAGAGGAATTAAGGGAAAATTAGACTGTTCATCATCATCCTTACAACTACTACTATATAATACTTTCGCCTTACCAATTTTTATAACTCCTGTCGATTATCGTTTACTACAATTATTGTATTAATGAGCGATTGGTAACACGATAACGTGTCGAAATACATGACAAGTGAAATTACGCAAGTGTTATTTTTCCAAGAATTACCTTTCCCTTAATTCTTCGTTGTTGAAATAATAATTGTAATAATAAATGTAGAAGGTCAAAGCGTCGAGCCAATGTTTCACACGAATATGTAGTCGAATTTTGTGTGTGTTACGAATCCTCTCGAATTAAACACGACTCCGAATATCACGGCACTTTGTAATTCACACAGTGCGTCGCCGTTTCCAGTGAAAGATAATGAAAATACGTGCCATATTCGTCAATCCGTCGTTATTACCAATTTAGACTCGGTGTAACAGTGTTCGAAACGAATGACTATCGATTCCTACATATCGATGACAGATGTATTGCAATTATGATGGCAACATCTTTCATCGTACGTTTTATCAACTGTATTAGACATTATGTAGTTGCAACTACCAGAGTTATCACATATTGCAAATCAGCTTCACATAGATATTCGCAAATACGTAAATTCTATCGCGAGACACGAACAGAAAGAAAAGCTTTCAGACCGAATGCTCTAGAATCTCGAAGACAAAATTGCTCACCTTATCAGAGTCCGTGGTATTCGTGGATCCAAAGGACGCCAATGAGTTTCTGTCCAAATTTTCGACGCTGTCATCCAGAGAAGCGCATTCTTCGAGATCTCGGCTCGAACGTTGACTCGAACTCTTCTTAGCAGGACTTTTAGGCATACTTAAACTGAAATATGTTTCTTGGATAACTTCACGCAATCTCTTCACCCATAGCTGTTTCGCATCCATTGAATTAGCACGGAGAACAACTCGCGTGTCACTGGTCGGTGCTCGTCCCGTCCAAACTGCGAATTTACATTCATCGCCTTCGATGTGCTCAGTTACGCCCAACTCAGAGGTCATCAAGCGGCTTTTGTAAATATATTTTACCTGTGGCGGTAAAGAAAGCACACTTCATTTCTGACTAAAAAGTTATTAGACTTTACAAGTGTAACACACCATACTGCAAATCCGACTGACGTAACGACTATACGTATTGCCTACCTTTCCAGCGGAATCCTTGACTTCCTTGCTAAACAGTAGGTACAACTCGAAGAGAAATATATGTCGGTCTCTACCTTTCCTAATTAATTGTTTCGGATCCCATACCGTGAACGAATCTTGTAGTACTACATCGCCGAGAGTATCTATTCTTACGTCGCAGCCTTCTAGCATACTCAAATGTAAGGCATCGTTCGCTTTTTTAGGCACATTTAACATCACTTCCAACCCGTCTTTTATTTCTCCCTGTCCTTCTTGGCAGCAAGCCTAAGTTGAATAACGGAAAAGAAATGGAAATTTAAACGGAAGATAGAAAATAAAATAAAACAAGATCAATTGCGTCCTAATTAGAACCAGTCACGCCGCGTTTACATATTCATAAACGCCGAAGAATAAAGGAACGTGAAAGAGACAACAACGATCCCGTTTGTTCTAAGAAAGATACGTACCTGAAGATCTTTCAGAAGCAACTGATACTTTGTGATTCTTTGCACGGGTTTAATTAGATACGCGGCAATTGGATGTTCAACACGGTGTTTCCTTTGTAATTCTTCGAACCATGTACCACCATGAGTAACCAAATATTGATTACTTTCGGGTTTATTTTTACAATAGGTCACGTACATGTCAAACTTGGGCGCCTAGGCGAAAAAAGAAGATTCAGCTAGAAACTGAAGTGGGTGAAAAGAAAATTCGCAATTTCCGTAACACGTTCGCCGCCGCCAAATGTCTTGCTGCCCCATGGGCCAGGTGTCGACAGTGTGTCGATTAGTCACCGTCACACAGATTTACAATATTTTTGTTTATGCACGTGTGTGGATGCACGCGTACTATAGATTACAAATAAGTGGCAAACAGTGGCAAACTACTTACGATTTTCTGGCCAGCAGCGAACGCGTTAAAGTAAAATTATAAAACAGTAGTATCTTAGAAATACGATCACCATTCAAAGTCAACCGCCTAAATAAACCCAATAAGAGAAGACTTACCCAAGTTACAAAACAATGTCCAACATCCTCCGGCATGGTTTCGTATTTTTCCAATTCGCGAAGAAATATATTGCTATGAAACTGATGAATTTCCTCCATATTGCTAAAGATTATCGATTCTCGGCCTTGCAGTCCCGCCGGAACGTTACCTTTGCCGCATCGGGTTTCTTCCAAGAAGCAACGAATACAAGTTTCCAGGTCTTTCACGTAAGTACGTTCCGTTTGTAACAATTCGGCCATTATAAATCTATTAAATTGCAACAACAATGTGTATTATATATATATATATATATATATATATATATATATATATATGTACATATATGTACTATTTACTTACTCTTTCCGTCGTGCTGACCGTCTTTTTTCTTCGTTCAATTCCTTAAGGTCCTTTCCTTTGATTTTCTCTTCGAGCAACGGATCGGAATTGCGATCGATACACAAATCTTTCTGACCATCGTCGGACTGAATTCCTAGATCATCTTCGATTTGTGTTTTGTAACAATCCATTCGCATACTGAAATCCTTGTATCGTTGATCAACTTCGGCAACCGATTGTTTAATTGCTGTTGCGTGAGCATGACCTTTCTCGACCAAATTATCGGCAAGTTGAATTAACAATTTTACCCTTTCTCTCGTTTCCTATGCCAAAAGGAAACACATCCGAAGAAATAAGAAAAAATGTCCATCAACTTGAAGACAAGATGAAAACCAAGTACAACCTACCTTGGCAGCACCTTTAAACTCATTATGTTCGTGTAATAGTTGTTCGTTTTCGACACGATTTTTTCCAACGTTGGTATGCGTAGCTAAATACAATTCACCGGTTTCTCGAATCCATTCTAGGGCTTGTTTAGCGCTGCGCTCAAAAAGAACATACTGATGGCATTGATCTAGACGCTTCTTACGTTGAGTCCAATATTCTAGCACTCGATTCTCCTTACAAAGTAATTCCTCCAAAATACCTGTAACACGAGGCAACGGAGGGATTAAACATATAAGTACATTCAGACGGAACCTTTCAATAACGCGATCAATATCGATCGAAAAAAACTGAAAGACCAAGAAAACACGTTCGATTATCAACAACGTTTTTTCTTAAATCTACCATACTAATCGATCGATCAGTAAAAAGTTATACTGAAACAAAAGAATGTGAAACTAACTTTTAACTTTATTCTCGGAACCAGTGCTATTTGCCTGATAACTATAAAATTGCAGACTACGATTCGTATATTTCAGGAATGTTTCCGCAGTTCGCCGTACCAACGTGCACGCTTTTAAAAATGCTTCTTTCTGTTCCTGGTGTTTACCAACGAGTGTCGGAACTTGCACCGCTTTCTCGCCAGAGGAACACCAATCTTCGTCCCTTTTGTATTCGCGTTCCAAGCTGTCTAATACAGAACGTACTTGTTCTGCCGTTTTGTAAAAGTTAATACTAGCAGTCACTAATTTATGTCTCTCCTCGGCACACGTCACCAGTTGTTGCCACCTCTTGGTCACGTCTTCAGCCACCTCCCTTATACTCTTCGGATCGTAATGATTAGCGCTTACCAATGCGTCCGCTCTGTGCTTCACCTACGACAAAACCAAAGTACATGTATAATTAATCTTCGCGTTATGTGCGCGCGTGCCATGCATCTGTCCGCGGAACAAGTGAACAAGTGAACAATTTACCTGAACAGCCGAGGTATGCGTTTTTTCTATAGCAACTTGAAACTGTTCATGTTCTAATCGAAGCTGCTCAGCATCTTGAAGATTTTCTGGAACTCTCAACGATGCTAATAACATTGCTTCGCCGTTACGTATCCAATTAGCGACGTGAGTGGCGTCTGTTTGCAATTGTACCAATTGAGATGCTTGTTCTAGCCGAACCCTTCGCATTTCCGCCAGATCTTCCGCATCCATTTCCCTTTCGTTTAAGAATTCGAGCAGTACTTGGACTCTAGACGCTGCGCTATGCTGTCCATCTGCCATTATACAAACTCCAGATTGTTCCAGTACCTGCACCAACAAACCAAAATGTAGCCCCTATCCAACTTGAAATTTTCTTCAATTGTCAAACAATTTCATGGAGTCCTTCTTACCTGAGCAAGCTCTTGTCCCTGTTGCAGAACCTGAAAAGCAGTGTTTTGCATATGAGCAACGCCATCGTTGTGCACACGTAACAGTTGCTCAGGAGATCCCTCTCGAGGGGGACCTTGCAGTTCTTGCGCCCACATCTCTAACTGACCGCTTGCTTCTAGAGCGTCCCTTTCGAAAACGCGCAATCGTAGACAAAGTTCGAGTCTCAATTTTCTAGTAGCCCATAAATCTTCCAATTCCTGTCTTAAGCCAGACAATCTACCGAGCGCAGCTTCCACTGCAGTTATCTGAAAAATAAATGGAGCATTGCTCTGTCTCTCTCAGCTCGTATGCGTGCGTGTGCTCAGGATAAATTAAGGTAGATCAGAAAAGAAAAGTACTCACAGAACCCGTAGTGTCGGGAGCATCAGTAGACTCACGTAGTTCCCGAAGCAACGCTTCACCCTGTACGATGGTAGATGTGCAAGCTTCTAAGCAAGAGGCTCTATGCTGGGCACACTGTTCCAATAACCTCTCTGCTGTTTCCAGATTCTCTGCAACCTCGTCCTGTTGCAACTCTTGTCGCAATTCGTCGACCCAACCGCTCAACTGCCAAAACGATCATACGCATTGTCACATTTATCGAGTATGATCTACTACTGTTTCTTTCTTCCTTATAGTTATTACCGGTGTTATCTTGACAATAGAATTGTTACCTCTTTTTCATGAGTGTAAAACACAACCGCTAAATCCAACCTTCGTCGACGCTGTTCAACTCTGGCTGCAAAGCTACTGACGTGAGCCTCTAATTCCTGAGCGACAGCATATATCTCATCAGCAGCACATTCTCCCGTGTGCGCCAATTCTTGTGCAGCGGTAAGCAACTTGGTGGCATTCGTATATGTGTTCTGAATTGAGAAAAGTCACATTTGTCGGTTCGTTTGTAAATGATAAAACGATACTGTTGATTGGTCATTCGGATATACCTGTGCAACGTTTTCAAAATGTTCGTGGCTCTTCTGATATACTCTTGCCTTTTGAAGATTGCGACCTACTCCCGTATTCTTTCTAATGAATACCTCGCCATGGTTCGTTAACCAATCCAAAACTTGTTTCACATCTTCTTGAAATAATCTGAGAACAATAATTGTATCCAATGGAATTGAGCACAGCTAGGGAACATCTGAAAGATCGCACAATAGCATAATGGAAAAACCAAAGATATATATATATATATATATATATATATATATATATATATATATATATATATATATATACCTCAAGGCGAGGCGCTGATGTAATTTTACTTTTCGGGCATGCCAACGAGCTTCTAATGCTCTGTGATGACCTAAGATTTGATGAATAACTGCCAAGACGTGTGATGCACCCTCGCTATAATCCGCAGCTGGATTCCCACTCATACCAGAATGCCCATCGATGCCGTGTCCATCTTGGCTCTAAACAAATTTACCAACTTATCCATTCGATCGTTAAAATTTCATTTTCACAAAGCGAGCGATCTACTTATCTTCTTTCGACACGTCATGCATTGTTACAGGAACCGTAAATGCAATTAAAATTAAAGCAACAGATTTAAGCACGAACTGAATGAAACAACCGAATAAGCATGCAATCTATTCTATTCTTTTTTTTTTTCTTTCTTTCGTCTTCTTCTTCTTCTTCTTCTTATTCTTATTATTTCTGATTTTTTTTTTTATTTTATCAAAGCGTGTCCGCGAACGCATAGCAACGTAAGGTAAACGAGCAAGACTGGTTCGCAAATACGAACATGTACACTCATGCACACCAATAGACGTACATGTTTTCTGGATGTATGGTCTATCCCCTGTGGTTGATTACAGACTTGCACGAGATGATCCAGTTGATAAAGAAGCTTCTTACTGGTACTATGTACCTAAACAATAGGATTACCCAAAACCGTGTTAAACATTTGCTGCTACGCATGTTTCATAGTATACGTCGTTAAAAAATGAACATCGAGCAAGTAGATTTTTACGCGATAAAGAGAACGGAAAACGTCCACCTTCGAATGTTACCATCGATCGACGTACACGGGAGCCTGTCCGTCTTTTTGTTCGAAAAAAGTTAATTTTCACCATCTAACCCTTTATTTTGTAACCGAAAGACTCGTTTTATTACACCCGTATACCAAGCACGCTTCCACCGTTTAGAAGCTATAAAAATAACAATTATTAATTGTTTCGTACATAATCGATGCGAAATGCGTCCAAGTTCGGAACGTGCGCCGAACTCAAGCTGTGACAAACTTGCAGCATCGAGCCTAGTCCGCTCAAAAGTGCCTGATACGCGTCATATACCTGCCAAATATCATTCTCCATTATTATGCTAGACATATTTTTTCATCAAATCGCATCTACATATATGTATTGTATAGCACAAAAATCAGAATAACACTATACCGATCTTCTATTCAGTATGCTATTATATATATATATATATATATATATATATATATATATATATATATAAAAGACGTCACTTTCGAGCGCGACGCTCGAGTTATGCTTAAGTTATAATCCGAGAATTAAATTTCTTTTCATTTCTTAATTAGGAACAGTAACAACTTTCATCAGTTTACTCCAAAGAATGGTAAAATCACCTCTGTATAAGCTTGACACATCGCCTCGTAAAGTGACTGATGTTGTCGTATATGAGATTCCAAGATCGGTATTTCATTAGGCAAGTTCCCAGCGTCACATGCTTGACTCCATCCAGCGACGCTGTCCACGTACTGCTCAGCCTTATGATGAAAAACAACGCTCAAGCTGAGAACCGCGGTTCGTTCATCGAGACCCGCAGCAAATTCTTTCCAAGCTCGATCCAGTCGACCGGCCACCGCTCTGATATGTCCGGCAGCATAGTGCTGTGTTTCGAGCAAACGACTGGCCATCGTTAGGATTTTATTCACGTTTACATATACGTTCATGGAACTTATGGTGAAATGCTTATGCTCTTCCTGCAAAGTTTTCGCCAACTGATAAGATCGACCGATCTCGACGTAATTTGCCAAAAATCCTTCTCTATTATGACAAATCCAATCGAACATTTTTTCACAATCCTGTTCAAAAAGTCTCAGCTGAAAACACTGCTCCAACTTCATTTTTTTTATATGCCACAGCTGCAAGAGATGTTGTTGCGCTGCATGCACAGAATCCAAGTGTTGAATCACCAAGGTTGCCAATGCTCGTCCATCAGGGTCAGTACCGCCAATGGCACCACTCTCGATGCTACCTCCTCCATCGCTACTGGTTGCAGCCATACCTACGGATCACAATAACAATAATAATTTCCAGCCAATCGTTTCACGTTTCACAAATTTTTTTCAATTTACCAACGGAAGGGAAAATTCATAAGAACAATAAGTTAAGAATGATAAAAAGAAGAAAAAAAAAGGCTTACTATTATCGAAACGTGTCAGCAATCGTTGACCGACAACTTCGATCTCTTCCACTGGAACTTTCATAATTTTCTTTTTCATTTCATTATGTAAGTCGATCCCGTGTTTCGCTCCAGCCACATCGTCAGCGAAATCGTTGCGACTCAAATCCTCTTGCAAGTCGTCTAATCGATCAAGAAGATCGGCCGCCTGCCACGTAAAATCTTCTACAGCGAGTCTAGTATCGATCCATTGCGCATGGTCGTATTGCAACGATCCGTCTAAATCCCCAGTCAATTGGGATGGATCTATTACTTTTGTCAGCGCTTCTAGGCTTATAGTGTTTATCTAAAATTGTATAGTCTTCCATTAGTTATTTGTATTACAATTCATCAATCTCGTCCCCCTGTTTACGTGTTTCTCGCTTACCTCAAAATTATACTTCTTTTGTTTAGCCAGTGTAGTTCGCTGTTTTTGCCAAAAATTTTCAGGTTTTATGATGAAAGCAACATGAACCGAACGATGAAAGTGTTCATGTAACACCTTAAACAGACGAATTTTGATCTTCAACATTAAAATGGCTTAGTAATCCATCGTTCGTGCAACATGTATAAGAAGTACATTGTATTAAAGCGAACAACTGAAGCGTTTGACCAAGTTACAATAATATAATACGTACAAGTGGCATTTATGATTCTCAAATGTCAATTGATAGAATAATATACAACCTTGAGAATAGGTTTAACAGAGTCCCACGTAGCACCACGCATGTCCACAATCACAGTGAAACGCAAACTCCTGGCCTCCTCGCCAGGTACAGTAAATAGGTATTGCAACAGACGACGATAATCTTCAGGTTTTGCACGTTCTCTTCTAGGAGTTGTAGGAAACACAAGTACCGGTCCGCCTCTACGATCTCGACCACCTGGTAATATGGCCAGACGCTCTTGAAGCAAAGGCAAAATCTCCGCTGCTCTAGTACCATCCATTTCTTCTATTCTTCTTTAATCGAGCTGTAACTAAAAAAAATGTTTAAACTGATGAATTTATAATATATACTGCATTATTGTTTATGTGTTAACACATTTCAGACTGACGTACGATTACAAGACCATCCCCAGAATCGGGTAATGTGTACGTACAATCTGTGCATGACCTATATGGTAAGTCATTGACTTAGATCATGACTCATCAGTTGGGTCGTCAGTTTCGAACATGTTAAAAAATTAACAGTATTCATAGAGAGACAATTAACTGATCTTAGCCGTTTCATTAGCTCAAATTATTTAACAATTACAAAATGATATCTTTTTTCCATTTTCATCTATACTACATGACATGTGTGTGTGTGTGTGTGTGTGATTCACAAGAACGTTTTAACATTTTAAAAGCCTGTAAGGCCATTTTTCATTCATTGCCATTTGATAAATTTTTCACTTTTATCACAGTTATAATAATAATAATGTTTGTTATAAAGGTATTATATATAATAAAATCCATTTATCTTACCTTTGATCATTAAACTCTCTTGAAATATTTCAAAGAAAGTAGGACTCTATAAGTTTTTATCGTATTGTTAACAATACTCATGACTTGAATTCTAGGAAACAAAAGAAGCGGAGGAAAAGAATATTTTTCTTTACTAGTAAGTTTTTAAATGTATACATATTCAAATTTGTGTCAGCCATCTATGGAAGACTAAAACAAACTATGATACAACTCACAAATATAAAAAAAATACACAATACCAATACTTTATTTTGTAATTTATAATACATAGAGACACATGACTATAGTGGGAATGAAAGGGGTTAATTGTTAATCCTTTATTGCAACAGAATACATATGTATATGTATATCATACTTTGATAGAGTGTTTGTTTCAGAAAAGATAAATCAATATATTTTTTCTCTAAAAATCCGCGTTCCTCTCCTCGTATATTTTACTGAAATTTTTCCTAAATGATTTCCACAAATACCTGTGTACAGCTTCATTACATCATACACAATATTTATATAAAACCAAACATGCTATCAAACAATTTTTCTACTTTATCGTTTTAAGACGTAGGTATAGTTATAAAAGGAGAACATAAAGACAACGTTTTATGAATTCCACGCGCCAGAAGGACACTCGTCGGATCGACACATTAACGACATGGGTTAACATCTATCGGACAAAAATCGGTGAATCGTTTCGGCGAGAACTATTCGAAAAAGAACGGTAGAACTTGACTGGAAACGAGACCCATTGTTATATCCCCATTGTAGCCGTCATTGCTGCCTGAACTATACCAACCATTACACCACTGTCACAGTATAGTTATAAAAGTGAATATAATTCCGTATGTTTTTTTTTTTTAAGAAACAAAGTACGTCTAACAACAACGCGCGACAAGCTAAAGTTCTCTTGGTTTGTTCCAAGTACTAAGAGCACTGCGAACAAACTGTCCGCGTTGATCTATTAGTTCGTATATTCTCGCATATATCTCCGTGTATACCATGAATCGAAGAGAACGGGGTTGAATTGTACTGAAAACGGTTCCGCTTACCTGTTAAAGATCACCTTGAAGAGACTTCGAACGTTCCGATTTTCTTTGTACCATACACACATTCGTTCCCGTAATCTTAGTACGACTCATATCTTCCGTTCCTCGACATTGAAACTTTTGCAGTCGCGATGAATGCGAAACCGCAAAACTACTACCTGCCAATGGCAGTCTGCCATATTCGAACTGAACGTTCGAGCCAGAACTTTTCAACGATCTCTTTGCCCGAACATCACGTATGAAATATACGTCTCGATGCGCATAGATGTCGTGCGGGGGCAGCACAAACTTTTGTTGTTCCCATTTGTACTCTCGCGAACAAATTCGGCTTCCGCTAGGGAAAAAACTGACGTGACTAGGGTTGAATCGATACTTTTACTCATAACTACTTCTACGTATAAAGGTATCGAAACGAAAGTATCGATAACTACTTGTATTGAATTATATTTTCCTAATCTTGATACCCAACACAAAAGTTGTTTCTGCGTTGAGAGACAATAAAATACAATGCTATACTTTATCTATTTATTTAAATATTTAATATAAAATTTGAAATACATAAACATAAACATATGTATAAATTCCAAACAATATCCGTCATATAAGATATACACGATAAACAAATATGTATGTCGGGACTTGATTGTAGTTTTGCGCGTTAATTTTGAATATTGAAGTTTGTTAATAATTTATTGATTATTTCAGATGTTCAGTTTTGATGTTTAATTTATCGATCCTAAGTTTTGTAAATAATTTTATTAATAAATTTATCGTTGAGTTCAGCCGTGTGTACTTTTATTTATAAATCGTTGAAATTCTAATTGTACATCATACATCTCACACACACGGGGTCTCTTCAGCATGCTTCGGGGGCTCCGTGACCCCACATTCTCAGCCCACGTGATCAAAGGCGCCTCCACCGAGGCCTCCGTGCAGGGTCTATGGCGTCTCCACTGGGGCTCCGTGACCCCACGCTCTCACCGCGCAGGGTCTATGGCGCCTCCACCGGGGGCTCCGTGACCCCCGCGCTAACCCCACTCGATCAATGGCGCCTCCACCGGGGTCGCCGTGCAGGGTCTATAGCGCCTCCACCGGGGGCTCCGTGACCCCACGCTCTCATCCCACGTGATCAATGGCGCCTCCACTGGGGCCTCCGTGACCCCACGCTCTCACCGTGCAGGGTTTATGGCGCCTCCACCGGGGGCTCCGTGACCTCACGTTCTCAGTAGAGATGATGTGACCTGCTACTTGTGAATCACTCGTGATTCGATCACGTTCGTTCTCAATCACGGTAATTTTTCACAGTGATTCGTAATTTCTCGTGATCGTTTCTGATTGGTGGAGAAACCTAACAGTTCTTTACACGCGACACATAATCTGTATATTTTATATTTTATATTAACGACATCAAAACAAAAATTCGAGTTATATCGTATAAAGGAATAATTAGAAACAATGAAGAATAATGAATAAATTAATGATTATAAATTATAATCTACATGTTACCTAGCAAATCATTCTTTTAGAATTTCTTGTTTTTTCTACTGATTTTTACAAACACAGTAATGTAATTCATCGTAAAATCATATTGAATACGTTTTTCTGTTTAAAGATTAATGACTTACGATTGCAGTGAGCAAATTCACTCAAGATAAAAAAATCGCAATCACGGTCGTGAATGAAGTTAAATCACGATCGTGATCGTGATTCGGCGATCACTGTGATAAATCACCGTTAGTGATTTTGCACGCCATCTCTATTCTATACAATTGATTTAAAGTACATAATCTCAACTGTTTTTTTTTTTCCGAAGTTTACAATAGCATTACAATTACAAAAGCAGAGAAGTGAGTGACTGAGTGTTCCATTTTTTGCAATTTTTACCATACAGAACATCAATGATCAAACGTTTGTATTTTATAACAGTTGTTTGAAATTCTTCGTCTAAATATTTAGTTATGGCAACCACGATATTTCGAATTTTTGCGAATGATTTTTCTCCGTCATTGAAACATCGTATTCAACAAATTCGACATGGACATCGTATACGAGGAAAGCCACCGATGATCGCTCATACTTTAAAACAGCGACTCGAATGTAAGTGAAACACGATGATCTTAGAATGAATGTTTTATCAACAATTTTTCTTTTAGCTCTTAATGCAACTGACCCAACGGTGTCATTTAAAGTAAATATTGGCTTTTCTATTCCAAAACGTTCCAGGAGAACAACAGAGATTTGGATGGCTGAAAAAGAGGCTATAAGAATGAATCCTGAAGCAGAGAGACAATCGAGGAAAAGATTATGTTAGTAGGACTTTTCCCATTGGAAATAAGAACATTTAATGCATAAATGATACTATGAATTCTACACAGTAGCGCAATAACGTTTGTCTCTTTTAGTGTCTGTTGATCTAAATCAAGTGAAAGAAACATGGTTAGATACATTGGGTCCGATTCATGTTCATAAAATTGCTTACCATTATGGGATCTTTCAAGATTTATTTGGTGATGCATATTTTATGCCTGTTGTACCATTAAAGATCGATTATAATACAAACGATGATACATTAGTCAGAGTTTACACAGGGAATGTTATAAAACCTAGCGAAGCAGACAAACCCCCAATTATTAAATATAAAGCTGAAACAGATACTTTATGGACTTTAATAATGAGTACACCTGATGGCAACTTGCAAAATTCAAACAATGAATATTGTCATTGGTTCCTGTGAGTGTGTGTAATTCTTATTGATTTATCTTAACAGGAATAATTGTTCTACGAGATTAAAATCTATTGTTATTACCCCCTGCAGGGGAAACATTCCTGGAAACAATATAGAATATGGTGAACAAATAATAGATTATTTAAAACCAATTCCATGTAGGGGAGTCGGTTATTATCGTTATATATTTATGCTTTACAAACAAAACCAACCTTTGGATTATACAAAGTATAAAAAACCATATCCCTGGTAAGTAAACAATTTTTGACATTTGATTCAGGATACACAATTTATATTCTATTCTTCTATTGTAGTTTACAATTGAACAAGCGTGATTGGAATACATTGAACTTTTATCGGGAACACCAAGAAAACCTTACCCCTGCTGGATTAGCATTTTTTCAAAGCGATTGGGATCCTACAGTAAAAAAATTTTATCATTCATCATTAAGTGCGTATGCTTATTGTAACAATTTCTTTATGTTATAGAGTTGCTAATACTCGAGAATTAACATTACACCTTTTGTAACTTTTCTTGCATAGACACAGAGGAACCAATATTTCAGTATGATTTCCCAAAACCATACATTAAACCACAGACGTGGTTTCCTTTGAAAGAACCATTTAACCTTTATTTGGACAAATACAGAGATCCTAAAGAAATAAGTAAGGAGTTTCTATTGAGAAAGATGAAAAATGTTCATCCCTTCAGAGAAGCAAAACCACCACTCAAGTATCCTAATGCTTGTGCTTTCGAGAAGAATTTACCTTCTTGGCTCAAATTGGAAATGAAAAAAGAACGTATAGGGTGGGGACGAGTTAATGATATAAAATAAAGAATTTGTATCCAACAGTTGCTCTGCGGATTTGTCAGAAGACTTTTGTAAATAAACCATTGACGAGTACCACGCAAAAGGCAAACGAGCATCGTTAATTTATACATGATCCTTAGGACAAATCAATGTCGTGACGTTATGATTTTTAAATGAGACGATGGTACAATGAAGTTATCATTCTAATCGCACATAAGCTTCAACAGCTTGTCTGCTTCTGAATTTGATGTCGGCCCTCGTAAGTATCGAGGAATCAATCGCTTCGTGCTCGACGATGAGACCTGAAAGTACAGTCGATCATAAATATGATAGTAAAAAGCTCAAGATAACGAGCGGATTTAGCAGAGAAGCTAATCGGTTCGTTCGTTAGTTCAAAACTATAAATCACGTTTCAAATGACTTACCCGTTGGTTCTACTCCTTCGTCTTTATACTTTAATCTGGAATTATAATCAGAGACGTAGGTTTGATACAAATCTTTCGCTCTATCATCTCTATCTTCGTCGAATTCGAAGTTGCTCATTCCAAACAGTGCTCCTACTTTCCGACTTACGGTGGATAATAATGCTAAACCTAGAGCAAATGTTACGATAAACGTACGTGTAAAATACGATTTTCTATCATTGTCGTAGCGTTTACCTTCCGTTTCAATTTTTTCCATGATCGGTAGAACGGCTTCCAGTTCTTCCGTATCATCCTTTCCATCCTTCGTCGGTCTTTTATCGGTTTGCTTTTTCGGTGTCCTAATCGTTCCCCTTCTCACACAAACTAGCATCGCTACCATATTTTGTAATGCCGCTCGTATATCCATTAACAGTTCACCACGAACCTTCCTTAAATTCTTATGTTCAAGTTGACGCTGTTTTTGCATCACGATTTGTTCCAGTAACGTTCTTTTATCAGTCTTATATCTGCAGATGAATGAACGAACAGGATCAGTAGGAAACAAAGATTACCGAATGAGATTCATATGTACATAGATATAATTGTTTTCGATACAAATATGCATACGCGGATTGCGATTAACGATGAAAATTAAATTAAAAAAAGCCAAGTGTTAGGAAAATTATTTACTCTTCCACGCCAGCCACAATAGTGTGCTCGATCTCCGTGAGAGTGGATAAAGCTTCATTTTTCTGACTCGATAACGAGTCGCGTTCCTTTACATTTCGGTTGAATTGTTCCAATAATCGCGTTCTTTGTTTCATTTGTTCTTCTAGCCTAGTAAACATTATCCAAGACGCAGAACAGAGGAATTAGTTAAACGGAAGAACTCAAGCCTCGTGCGTATCTACATTTTCCAGCTTTTCTAGATTTTTCGAGCTCTCGGACACTGTATTCGGAATTCGTTGATATCGCGTAAAAAGTGTGATAATGCACAAATCAATATTAATACCTTGAAAGTAACTCTCGATAGGATCGTACGAGCAACGATTCTTTAACTTTATCAAATACTCCTTCCAAAGACTTTATTTGCTTTTCCAGCGATCCATTCGATGCGATCGAAGCACGTCTAACTTCCATGGTGAACATTGTTTCGCTCTGTTTGTTGTGACAGAGCACACAATGTATACAGTGGTGGTCTTTATTTAGCTCAACATGTTTTCCTCTACATTAATCCTAAATTCTACATTATAATTTGCATATTGTTCACGATCTGTTTAATCGATGGAACTTACTTCCGTTCGTATCAACGATTGCGCGTATGACCACAGATCTTCGACTTGCCCGCGAATAAACGCCAACGAACGTTCTCTTTCTTTCATGTTGTTCCAAACTTTTCGAGTAATTTCCTTACATTTTCCTGCTATGTCGTCGGACTCTTCAACCGCGAGTTGTCCCATTATCGTTGCTGCGAGTATCACTTCGCATTGACTTCTTCGATCTTGCTTCAACAAATCCAACAAGGCTTCGTAATGCACCGCGTCCTACGTACGTACATATAGATACAATATAGTTATGGATTACAGAAGTTACATACTAAATCGGCGGTGAGCGGCGGAGTACTTCCGGGTGAATCGAACTTTTACTCGAAAAAATTGACCCAAATTATTTGCATCCTGTGTGCTCGACAAGATGTACGAATGAGAAAATTAGACCGAGAGTCCGAGGGTGGGGATGTACACTATTTCATACTACATGTACTTTGTAACTTCATTTTAACTCGGTGTACCTCTCGTAAAATTTCGAGCATGGAGGTGTATGTTATATTTATCGCCCTCGCTGCATTTTGTTTTGCTATAGATTGTTGATAACGTGCTACCAGCCGTTGTTGCGTTAGATCCTGAGTCCATGGCACCTCTCGTTCTCGCGCGTAACTGTCAAACAATTCTGCATGCTCCAACTGTGTTACATACAAATATCGTATTCCGTACAAGTTATGCACGTGACATCGGTCAATACATACATACTGTATGTGTATGTACCTGTAGTTCGAAGCAACGTTTCAATTTTCTTCTTTTCTCGTAACGAAGTTTGTCCAGTTGACGACGTTTCTGATGATTATCCTCATAAATAATCGTATAAATGTGCTACATTCGCGAAAGAGTTTTTCATTTAAATGTGTGTCTCTTTTACATTTATCGAATTTTAATTACCGCAGAATTCTCTACTTCAATAATGAAACGTACCTCCGTTCTTTGGCCACGGCACTTTAATCGCAAATCCTTGCGATCTTGCAGTAAATTATGCGCACGATCTTTGCTACCGCTTACCAGTTGATGGTACTTTTTCACATCTTCCCGAAATGAACCCAATTGCCATGATATTCTCTTCTTCAACTTTGCCGCATCCTGCAGTCGTAACTTCTTTTCACGATCTGTTTACAATTTTGAAGAATGAATTCTACTCCTGATAAAACGACTCCGTTCGTACGTTTCTAACGAGGAATGTGAACAGAACGAGACGTAAATAAGAATAAGAAAACCATGATGTACTCCATTGTTTCGACATATTTGTCGTGTTACCGATTGACAAGACAAATGTCGACTTCGCGGTGTCACGTATCCCCTAAACATATGTGTACATAGTACATAATAACATAATAAACAATATTCCGGATTTGTATCGTTATGTAAGTTATAAGAAAGCTGAAGGAAAGGAATTCTCTATTTGAAAATGCGAACAGCACACATTCAATTGTCACACAGCTGTCTTATTCTGGATATATGTACATATATTTCCTGTTACCGTATAACTTTAAAATTCCTCGATATTGGTCCAGTTTATCCTTTGTCGTCCATTTGCCGTCCCTAAATCCACGATATACTTCGATCCGTTTGCTGCGGAACATTTTAAAGGCAGAATTTATAAAAGTGTCGATATTAATTCATTTTTTGGCAATCGGTCGAGACTCGCAACAGTTTAATTACTGCGTCTGAAAAATAAAAATTTGCCTCTTCATACGGGACACCAAGAACATTTGTTGCAACGTATTTAAAAACTTGTAATTTCAGAGAATAACTCAACTTTACTTTACATACAAAGATGTATAATATCATGTACAAGGAGAAAGTCGCAGCAAACACCTACTTACGTCGTGTTTCTAAAGGTTAGAAACAGGCATCGAACAATCTATATACGCATATCGCATTCATTTATTGCGCATCTACATATACGTAGATCTCTCTTTCTCCTTCACACACACACACACACACACACACACACACACACATATTCTTATTAAGCTCATTCTTCGACTTTTTTTTCACACGAGACAACCATATGCATCTCTCGTTCATGGTGAGATTATAAAACAGTGTACAGAAATTTTTCATACATGGCTTCGGTCATGGTTGATATGTATCTTATATGTATACCTATGTATATTCTAGAATCTAGAACATGCGTATTCTCGACGGTAACACGTTAGTTACTTGATTTGAATTCACACAAATCATGCCTTACGCGTCTTGTAACGTTGATACAGTTTGCACAATTATTAACGGTGCACCGTACAAGTCAAGTCCGTTCGTTGTGTTATACTCCTTTTTTCGAATTAAACGTCTTTGTATGACCTGCAAGGGGGTGGTGGTGCACTCCATATACCGTTTTCTCGACAAGTTGGTCGCCTAACAGGTTCCAGTGGTGTTACGTAGCCAGGTGAACAGGTAACCTGATCAATACAGTTAATTGCATCGATTTAATAAAAATCAGAAGGGAATCAATACCCGAATCTTTTATTACCTGTATGTTATCGCCAGGTTTGTACCAAAACTTGAGAGGTGCGATTCGTCCATGAGGTGGATCACCTGGGTAAGGGCATCTTACTTTGCCTGTAAACCGTTTAGAACTTGTCGAGTATACCGGAAATATAATATATTAATCGTAAGAAACGAATTTCATCAGGTGCTTGAAATTGTGTAACACTGTTGCAGAGTACCTATAATTATGAATCTTATGGCTCTTTTGACGGTCAAGGCAAAAAAAACTTACAAACTGGTGACATGTGTGACCACGTTCCATTTTCAGTGCATATTATGGAAGCCTCGCCCAAAAGTTGGTGTCCTGGCAAACAAGCATATCTAACGAGTGCACCAACTTTGTGCACCCGATTGCGATACTGTCTCCTTCCGGAATTATGATGACGATGGGTTTGTTCGATAATGCGTCCGCTTTTTGGTACCGATGGTCCCGGGCAGGTGATTTCTGTAGAACGGTCATTAAGCATTCATATTAGAATTATACGGGCCGTACCGTATTCTTTTTCCAATGAAGAGAAAATAAGAAATAAAAATTACATGGCTTACCAGCGCAATTCGGCATATCTCCGCTCCACGAACCGTCCCCTTTGCATTCTATGGTTTGGGATCCCAAAAGCTTGTGACCCCACATACAAGCGAATACAGCCTTACCATCAAAGGTATTGTTGTATTCGAGAAGCTGTAACCATGTATCGTCAACAGTGTCCAAAGGTGGACATTTTATCGTTTCGCAACGCGGTATATCGGCAGACCATTTACCTAAGAATAATTGTAACGAAATGTTTGCATTTAATCAGAAATTGAAACATATTCAAGAAAGTTTTTATCATTTAGAAAACTTTCCCCATTTTTTACCATTGTACTGGCATGTTATACCAGTCGCACCTTCCAGTCTGTACCCGATAGGACACTCGAATACTGCTCCGTGCCCCATTCGCGCGCCTTCGATTTTTCCTAGCAATGGCGGTTCAGGTGGAGTCAAAACTGGACATTGAACGTCTGCAATGGCGCGTAATAAAGTTATAAAAATGCTTAGTTTGCCTTTCAATAAATTCCATTCCGACATATGTAATATGTAAACATATTATTCTTATAGGTAATCTGTCTTTCGAAAAGCAAAACACGACAGTCAAACTTGAACACTTACCCACGACGTGAACACGAATCGAGTTGGACAGTCCACGGGGCGTGGAACACGTGTACACGCCGGAATCTTGAGCTTTTGCATAATATATCGATAGCCGGTATTTCCAGTCTCTTTCACGAGCTGCAATCGCCCATCCTGCAGCGAACGGAAATCGCTACAACGTAACGTTCGTTGGTTTCCGATGCGCCGCGACTAATTTCGCATATTTCTACATACCTATACATATGTGTGTAAGTCTTTTCCACATACATACATATGTACAATCTTTCGCTATTAGCTGTAAATCTAAATGCACAGTTTCAAGCTTTGAAAACGCGAAACATCGTCGATCGTTTGCATGTATCTATCCTTGTACATATGTATACTTAAATTCTACCTATATGTGTTCTTCTTGAAAGTTCGAAAGTTAGAGTATCACATGACATGTCGCGTATTATAAAAATGTTTTTAATTTAACCGTCTGTTGCTCGTATATCGTTAACATATACCTATACCTATACCTATACCTATACCTATACCTATACCTATACCTATACCTATACATAATATCTTTAACATATTGTACATGTGTACATACATACATACATATATGTAAGATCCTATGCAATTTCGTAAAAGGTTAGACCTAATTCAGAGTGTAGACTTGAGAACTCCGAATCGTTTAGTTTACAATTATTAAACTCTTACACGACACATTGTTACGTGTAATTGAATAGACCTCTTCAAGATTTTTTAAAAGTATTGCACTCGATTCTGCGACTCGGAATTCAATAAGAGCAAGCGTTTCATCCTAACCCAGACCTACATATGTATCTATATGTATGTGTAGGTTATCGGCTATCAGGAGGCCTAGGCAGTGATTACAGATTATATGTGTATCATATATACATGTACAATATCTGTAGTCAATGGCTTGTAGGCTTGTTTATGCGAAACAGATTACAGAAAGTTAGAGATGGCGTTGTTTCTATGGTAAGTTAATCGTAATCGACTTTTCGATTTTTAAAACGATCAATGGTTTCGTACCTTGATCCCTTGACAGCGAACACCGACGATCACTTACCGGTCAAATATTGCCGAAATGTCGAGGTCCATGTCCATTCTGGATTACCGAGTTTCCTAGCAAAAAGACATTCGAGGTGAAGAATGCTTCCTGGAAATACAGCGAGGGCACCGGATGGTTCTACGGCCGCCGAACCGGTTGGTAATCCAAACACAATCGTGGGTGGCACATCTTCTGTTTCTCCTCGAACAGTCATCGGAGGAGAATACATAAGCGACTATCGGGGTTTTATCTCCATCAGGAGGAGCTTCGAGGAATCTCGAATATTTGTTTATTCATCGAATCTTCTAAAGGTGCAAACTCATCAAAGGAGCGAGCATTCTCGCTCGTTGTCAGTTCTCGTTCAGTGTATATGGTACATACATACATATATGATACATAAGTATGTAGATATGTACTTGCATACCGCTCAACGAATACGAACTAGCGAGTAAATGCAACTTTTCAATTGAACACGAGCGGGCACTCGGTGGTTGCTTGGTGCGTTCGCATTATAATGTTACATATTAATAAATCTTTATCTTCGTTCAAGGTGGACCAACGTCGGTAGAAGAAACCGAAATATTGGGACTACGTACGAAATTACTCACCGGTGTAATTCGAAATCGCCGTTGTCGGGGCACAAGATGGTAGTTTTCCATTCCAGCTCGCATTGCGGCAATGCAACAAAGAATCACCGATGAGCTTGTATTTACCTAGTTCTCTGCACCTTACGGTCACACGTTCTCCGTGCGGTACACTGATTTTATCTACCTAAAGGAACAAGGCAACAGACGCGTAACGATTAAGCGCGTATTACATGTGTATATACACATTTATACATTTCAACAAAAAATATTTTACTAGAACTGGAAGTGTTACTCGTAATTTTACTCACGGATATAGTTATATTTTTGTAAGTAACGATTAAGAGCGGATGCAGACCTTCGAGTTTACAACCCCGTTCGAATCCCTCCGTATCTGTAAGAAAATTCGAATTGCTAATAAATAGGGAATTTTTTCGCATCGACTTCTTACCTAGATAACGTGTTAATTATTATCGATTTTTTATAATAAAGTATTCTCGCGTATACGACTCATTCATCTGCCGGCAAGTACATATGTATATTATCGTGCGATACTCTCTCTATGTATTTTGTAACGAGCGAGGATTATGTCGAGCACCATTTTCATGGAAAGTCGTGAAATATTATTTGTTATTTAGATTTTACATCTATACGGGTAATTGGTAGCGGAGACATATAATGTACATAAGTATATGCAAATACGGAATATGTACGTGTAAAGCGCGGGAGAGTTGTTGTTGTAACGTAATCTCACATGCAGTGCTGTACCAAATCGATTGCGTTCTCGATTAACCAGCGTTTACGTATTATACATATGTATTGTATACTACGTGTACTATACATATACATATGTGCATGTACATGTCACGCGTCTTTGGATATGCAGACGCCCAATTAATGGAACCGACGACAACAATCGTGCGTGTCCCTTTCGACCCTGCTCCTTATATCGTCGAAACAAGAATTACGCGTTCGACAAATACATTATAAATCCATGTTTATTTTATCGCGCATGCTCGGCATGGTTCTGCCAGACGGTCAATAGAGTATCTAACCATTTCCAAAACCGTCCAGACGCCTCGTTATCGATCCGTTTCGGACTGTTGAAAAATGTTCGTGTTGTTAATACACACACATGCATCTATATATTTTGTGTCCGTTAAAAATTATCCTATGGAATAAGCCTACCAACAATAAGCATATCTCATTATGAAAGAAACTTCATTCACGACAAGAGCTGCTATGTATTTTCCTTGCCGTATGGTGCACGCACGTTTTCAAAGTTGCAATTTCATTTTGCCAGTGTGAACAAGATAGGATTGTCGCGATTTTGGATAAATGAAAAAAAAAGAAACAAATTACCGCGTAGATACATTATACACACGCACACACACCCGTTTGGACCCCGTTGCAAAATCCAACAGTTAGACCGAGCAAGAAAAGGAAACATCTCGTCGTTGGTGTCGTACGGTACACACTCTGGAACAATTTTCTTCTTTTTTCCTTCTCGATGGACATACTGTTTGTCTTCGCACATCAGAGCGAAACCCTGTTCGAGTCACCACACTGGAACTTCGTTTCGATGCTACTGTTGCATCGAAAATGAAATGAATTTTCGTACGTCGGGATATCACTCGCTTTTGATTTCGACATTTCGTTTCATGAGCACAACAAACCGTACGTCACCGACCGTCAATTTCTTGACAGGACTGAAAATCGAAGGAACAAATAAATCAAAGCATATCCGCGAGAAGACCGAGAAATACCGATCGGACAAACGGTTCGAATCTGTACGTACATGCCGCGAAAACGGTACACGATTGCCCAACGGTGAACATCAAGAGCAACGTCTGCATTAACTAACTTCATCGCGAACGTTCGTGAACAACACGTTCCACAGTGGAACATCCACTACCACACTGCTGCGGGCTGCCGCCAGGACCACCACCACCACCACCACCACCACCACCACCACCACCACCTCCACCTCCACCTCCACCACCTCTGTCCCCAACACCGCCCCCATTATCATCTCTGCGAGAATTCATCAAAGTGAATTAAGGAAAGAATTATCCCATTATGAACTCATCATTGCTTCTTCACTCGAGAAAGCATACATCCCCACCTGTTTACATTGTTTTTAAGAATTTTTTCATACTTTCATTCATTTTGTATTTAATTTTCATTCACAGTATTACTAATTTTCTTTCCATGTTTCATACTTCGTACAAGATCAGAATAAGTTCGATTCAAAACTTCAAAGACCATGTTACGTACGGGAACTTACTGAGATACAAGTTCACTTTGGACAACTCTTCCAGCGTTATGCTGACAGCTTCCGTCTTGACCAAGCACTCGATTTGTAACTTAAAGAACGTAGATTAATACCCTCCATCAATTAAGAAATAATTATCAGAAGATCGTTCTTAAAGTCACAAGTGTTTACAACGGTTGTCACTGTTTTGTCATGCGTTCGGCGTTTAGTTCACGTTTGGACATCTCTTATAACGTTATACGGTCAGCTATCAGTCTTGACTGACCATTAGATTTCAAGCTTAGGAAACGTAGATTAATCCCCGGCCATTGACAATAACAATAAACGACCGGAACACTGTTAAAATCGCATTTAAACGCGGAATACCCCTATTTTTGCGACCGGTGGCGCCACCCGTGGCAATTTGCTCAAACTGCTAGCCAAATCATACCGACAGGTAAGTGAAAATTCCTAATGATGGAAAAATGCGAATATCTCAATAATTAAGCGCTTAAAATGAACGTCATTAGTCTCAAAATGGTCCTTAGGACTTAATACATAGACCCAATAGTGCAGAACCCCAAAATTAGTAAAATTAGTTATGCCTGTATTACCGCAACCCCTTATGAAGCGACAATCCTAATTGCAACAGATTTCGTTCGCATTTACACCACTGAAAGGGCATCATTCTTCCTCGTCACGCATTAAGAACTTAGATTAGTACTTTCTATCGGCTGTGAAGCAGTAATTACAAGAACATTGTTACAATCACATTTATTTGCAATGGTTGACACTGTATCTCGTCATGCGTACCCCGTTTCGTTCACTTTAGACAGCTCTTACACCGTTATACGGATAGCTTTCGTTTAGATAAACCACTTGATTTGTAGCTGAAAGAACGAAGATTAATCCCATGCCATTGACAATAACAATAAACAACCCGAACACTGTTAAAATTGCAATTAAACGCTGAATATCACTATTTCTTCGACCAGTGGCGCTTTTAGATTTTATATCTTAAAAAATTGCTTCCAATTTTTCATATTCGCAAATGAAAAAGCAAAAATTTGTCGTTTGCGCAATAGATACATAGACAATGGTCTTTTTACACAAATATGGTACCAATTACCGAAGGAACTATGATCGCAAATTCTTCTGTTCGATGACTAATAAACGTATTAACACAATTTCCATCTATCCACCTTTCGCAATTTCTTACAACTAACTTAGATATCCAAATATTCTTATACCAACGATACGAAAATCCCACGGCGGACGACTTCTTTCTTAAGTCTACCTGAAAGTAAAATAAATCAAAAGAAAACAGAATTAAATAAAATATATCAAAATAAAACACAAGTAGTTAAAATAAATCAATGTAGAACACAGTTAATTAATATAAATGAAAATAAAACACAATTAATTAGAACAAATCAAAATAAAATACAATTAATTAAAATAAATAAAAATAAAACACAAGTAATTAAAATAAATAAAAATAAAACATAATTAATTAAAATAAATCAAAATAAAACACAGTTAATTAATATAAATAAAA